GCAAAATCAACTTAGATAAATCAAATCCTACGGCTTATTTTCTACATGGGATCTAAATTTCACTTTCAGCAGTCTATTGTTTACTCTGTTCTTGAAACCCATCATATTCACTGAAAAATACACTGAAATAAACATTCATTTTAAAAAATCCTGACTTTCTCTCATGGTGTTTTAATGATTTTTAAAATCAACTAAGAGTTTCCCTTTGAACCATCTCACCTTAAATTCCACACTATCTCCAGCTGTAGTAATCTGATCACTACAACAGCTGCAGGTTGAATGACGCACTCTGAAGACTGAAGCCAGTCACGTTTCACACTCACTGTCAGCATGCAGAGCAGCTTTAGGAGCCAAGTCACCAAAACATTGCTGCATCCACACCAGGCATAGTAAGTGAGGCAGTGGAGGATACTATTGACAACACTTTTGAAAATACTCCTGATTCCTGATGATAAAAAGCCGTTTTACTTTGTATTCAAATGCTAATAAAAGCCTTGTGGGTACACCTTAATGTGCCTGCTTTCTGTTCCTGAATTTTGATGATCCTCTGATCTATTTTTAAGCACAAAGTGAAGCAGCATTCCCTGCCCTGAAGTTATGCTGTTGTTTGATTCAGGGCAGCATTACTCAGCTGTGGATGTGACTCACACACGCAGCGAGGAGAAGCCTGGGTTTCTGCTTACTGAAAGATATGCTGCAGCTGCAGGAGTAATGCAAGAATCATTTTTTATATCTCCCAAATAAGCCTGATCTTTTCTTTACTATTAAAATATCTGTCTTTTTTTCTCTTTATACCGCATTCATGCATAATATATCAGACATGTACAGAAAAGTTGCCTAAATATGAAGAAGACAATCTTTAACATGGAGGCACAATGTGAAATGTGTGAAAGGTGTCATCACGACAGAACATGTCATTTCACATACATATATTTAAACCCATCTGTTTATTATTCTGCAGCTAATGCTGGAGTGGTTTCTCTTCAGATCGTATAGCTGAACATCTGTGTAATCTATTCAGGTAAAGGTCAGATTGGGTTAAGTAATAAGTACCTTTTATTGCTTTGAGCGGTGAACAATGACATGCGCAGAGTGCAGCCAGGTGATTATCTATTTTTGCTGAGGTGAAAACCAGCACGTGATGATTGGTGCGTGGATGGAGAATGGGAGGAATCTGATTTCATTTCATCTCTAAATGGCATATGAATAGATTCAAATTAATGGATTGCCAAAAGTGGAATTGAAAAAAAGCAACCTTCACATAGTACCATACATAAAATGCAACATATTACAAAAGGTACATTTTTTTAACTGCAGACTTTAAGGATATTAAATTGTAAAATGCAGAGGCCTATATAATGTCAAAGCTGAAAGGCCTATCAAACATTTACAAAAAGATGATCCAAGTCATTTATAACAAGGAGAATAACCGGTCCAAAAAGAGCTACTTTTGCTTCTTAAACCTTTTCTCAAGACTGTGGAGGCATGGCTGATCACATTTGGATTGACATTTCCTTTACTCATCTGCAACACAATAGAACATGTGATAATCCGAAATGTGCAGCCCAACCTTAACGTTTGTTTAATCGCTCTCTTAGCATGGACTTAGCGTGTACATTGACTGTACCTACACTGCAAGCTACCTGAGGTTGTTACATTTGTTGTAATGGAAATGCTTATAGTTTAGCAAGCTATCTGCTGGTGTTTAGCACCTGCCAGTCCAACAGAGGGAAGGCAAGCTGCTTGGGTGAAAGCCAACCCAAGGTCCACCCTTTTTTGGAACGTGCTTTATCTGCATGGCGTTTTGCCTCACTATGATGATATTTTCTCTTCTGTGCCGCTAGGTCCACATTCATTATATATGGAGGATGAAGTCCTCCAAGCGGGCATTCTCCAACCTGGGTTCGAATCCAACCTGTGGCCCCCCCCTTCCTGCATGTCATTCCCTACTCTCTTTCTCCCTGATTTCCGACTATATCCACTGTCCTATCTCTCTAATAAAGGCCCAAAATGCCCCCCCAAAAATAAATAATGATACAGGCAGAGGAAAGGGTCTGTGCAGACCAAGTCAACAGCACAAAAGTATGGAGGCTCATAAGTGATGATTGAGCAGCTTTCATTTTGTAGAAGTCTATATTTTATCTTTGAGGAGAAAGCTACTGACTCCTTCTTTAGAGACATTGAGCTATTCATAAGTTTTTATGGTTACACGTTGTTTTTTCTCCCCAAGATATTGGTAGTGAAAAAGGTCAGAAGCTACTTTCTCATACACAATGCATTCTTGAATATTTCCTGACATTGCGACGTTGGGCTGCATGTCACAAAACAAAACGACAAATTGTTTCTCTGGACTTTTCCTGCCAGCACACTAGTACAAGTTCACATTAAGTCTGGGTTAGCGGGTGTGAGAACTCACCAGGTACTTCTTTCACATCAAGCTTGGTGTGTTGATAACGTTGTTCACAAAGAGTGGAGTTTCTCTGCTTTATACTTTTTACTGTCTGTGTAATGTTTACTGCTGTGGGTTTGTATTGCTGTGCTTTCACATACCACATTGATATTGACCCAGAAAGAGCGACCATCATGAGAGACTCCTCCTCCTCCTCCTTTATGCTCCTGCAAGCCTCTCCCAGCCTAAACTGAGTATTTCCAATAGTTACATGTCCTACACAAATCTCTAGGGGGACATAAAGTTAAATGGGAAGTCTAAAAAATAACAGGACCTGACTGTCTGGACATTCGGTGAGAATTGGACTGCTGACTGTTCGTCTTCATTAGTATTTTTGCCCTTGAAACCATTGTATGCAATTAAAATACTTTAGTCCAGACTCAAGTCCTTAAAGGTCCACTAACCTCTCTATTAGAGGGACAAGATTTCCTTTCTTAAGACTGTGCTGAATTTTTTTTTAGTTCAGAGTTTAAAAAACACAGCATTCCTGGACGGAAATAGATGGTCTTTCCCCCCCCCCCCGCCCAGTGTAGGCTGTTTGCTTGAGGGCATGGGGAATACCATGACATGTAGTCCAAACTTTCCCATGATTCACAGAACATCAATACCAGTAGAGAGTTCTTTACTGTGCTCCCTGTGTTGAAAAGCTGGAGCAAGCCTGTCTGGCTGCTGTTAAAGAAACGGGTTGAGATTAAATGAGACGATAAAAAACAACATTAAGCCTACTATGCAGTACATAAGTATCGAGGTCTGTCATGTTTTTGCCTGTGATCAAGATTCACCTACTATCCATAATTATGATTAATGAGCTAACAAGGGTGATTCAGTAAACACGTTTCGCTCTCTTGATGGCAAATGGAAAATTAGACACTCAGTTAAGCTTTCTCAGTGTGATAAATCATTCATTTCTCATGTAGCTCAGTGTTTCTGCTGCTGACCATATGAAGCAATTATGGATGGGTGACATCAGAAATTGTTGACTATCAGGACAATATGGCAGTTGTTTCTTTACTTCAGTAAACTGCCAATTAATTAATCTCCATTTCTCTTTGCTTCATAAATGATTGGTCCTGATTTATTAGGCACATGCTTTAAAAAATTTGTTTAAAACAAGGGAAAATTCACCACTGTCTATTCACTGGTCAAATACGCTCGATTGCCAGGTCGTCAAATATCAAAGCCTTTGGTGCACCATTCAGACGTACCATGTATCGTTTTGCAGCACCTACGGACTCTCAAGGAAGGGTCTGTCATTTCCCATACATAACCAAAGTGCATTTGGTAACATTTAAAAACAAAACACCGTCAAGGTTAGGGCAAACATTTTGAAATGTGTTTAAAAAAAACAACATTTCAGACAGGACTTGATCCCTATTTCTGGTCAGAAGCTCAGTGATGATTGGCCCGTCCATTGTCCATCTCCTCTGCAGTGAGATGGTTTTACCTGTATTTCTACTTCATTTCTATTAGCAGCTTGAGTGTCTAATATTTTCATGAAAGGGTTACATTACAGTTTGTATAGAGCCCGGTGTTTCCCAGAAGGGTACCTTGTGTATCTTTGTGTTATTTTGAGGCGTCAAAAAATGCATTTCCAATGAGAAATTATACCTTAAACGGTGTTTGATCATATTTTATGCAGAGGACTTCTGCTTTGTAAGACTGGGAGAACAACTCATGTCTTTGATGTTTGTTTGAGGTCAGCCACCGCGCTCATCTCCCCTGCCTTCCTGCTTCATTCTCTTGTACTTCCTACATGCTGAGGAATAATCACAAGGTCTGCACATAGGGTTTCGTTTATGGCAGAATTGTGTCTGCCTCTCACCCACTCACTGAGTCTCCCAGGGAGATTACACACACCTCCAGACTGGGGATTCTTCCAAACTTTCAGAATAGATTTAACTAATTGGCCTTGGTTGGTGAGCTGTGAATGCATGGATCCAATAAACGGAGATTTTGGCCTTGTGATGATTGGAGAAATAAAACCCATTGAAAGCACAATTATTTTTATCAGAGACAGAATGGAATTTTTTTTAGCACACAGAGTTTGCCAGGTTTGATAGGGTTAGGAGGATGGAGGGTGCAGTGTTGCAGAATCTCTTTGCACTGCCACAGCTGCCTCAACTTGGTGACTTAGTGCCTACTTCCTTCTCTGTTTCTCACCTCCTCTTCTTCTTTTCCCACTCCTTCTAGAAGCTCTGCAATTAAGTAAGCCTTTAACTCTCAGCCCTGATGCTTTTGTAAAAATTCTTTGTTCTGCTGCCACAACAACAGCAGCAGTGGTGGGTGGATCACATCTAAAATGATTTCTCAAATTAATTATTCCTTCTCTTTGACTTAATTAGCGTGGGAGAATAAAGGTGTTAAGATTTGGCAGGCTTGTCTTTTGGTAGAAGATTGTTCAGGCATAAATGTTCTGTTCATGTATCCTTTAAAATGATATAACAATGCATACAGACATTAAAAAGTGTTTGAGAAGATACCTTGTAAGTTCTTAAAATGTCAAAATGCACAGCATTTATTGCAATAAAATCACAAACATTGTTAGCAAAAATCAAATACAGTTCTGACAAAAATAAATACTTTGTATGCCTTTTAAAGGCTGCATACTTTCACAATAAAGTAAATAGAAAAGATTTCCAAATGAATAAGTTGTACAACCCATAAAACACACAGCCGTGCTCACATGGCCTGGAGTGTTAACAACACATCATAGACAGTTGCTACCACATTCAAATTATAGTTCAACCTGTTTTTCCCTATGCAACAATACTCTGTGATATCACACAATAAACACTACTCCTAAGTTTTACCTCACTGCATGAAAAGGCTCTATCGTCACGCTCAACCACAACACAGATTACCAAGAAATGAACATGATGTCAGTCGTTTCCTCTGATGAGTGTTGATTGAATCAGAGAGCTCAAAGTGTAAAAGGCACTTAAGAACTCTGGCCTCATAGCTACAACATCAGTGCAGTGCACTTCTCTTGATACAATATGACTATCCAAATCATTTATTTCCCTACATAACACTTATACTGTTTTTTAAAGGCCAACACATTAATATTGAGGTCAGAAGTTATGATTGAATATTGATATAGAATTATAACTGTTTGGTTCTGGTGGGACATTTCAGTGAATGGTTTAGTGGCACAACTTAAATTCTTGGCAGTTATTGAAAAATAACCCTGCAGAGTCTCAGTGAAAACAAAATAGTGCTTAATTAGTGTCTGTCTATCGGGATGCACTGTACAAATATAAAGAGAGTCCAGTCTACCTTACATTTTGTTAGGCAAGTTTTTGGAAAACTGTCACACAGAAAAAAGACATGTAACTGGACCCTTGGGTGTAAATCTTGTGTTTGATTACACTTCCATTCCTCTGACCGCTAAATCTGATGGACTTTATCACTGTATCACTTTTAAATGTCACCTGACTTCCACAGCAGCCTCTGCCTTCAGTGTGTGAATGTGGTGTTAATGGGTAAGTGTGATCTGTGGGTAAGTGTGATCTGTGGTGCAAAAAGGGCTGGAGTAGTCTAGTAGTAGACTAGAAAAACGCTATACAAGCTAAACCCAATTACTTTGGATTTTTTCTCACGTCTTAACTATTATGGCCCACATAAAATGGCATGTAACTCTAAATTAGGGGTCATAATAAATCAATGCACAGCCGACCTGTGTGGTCGCATATTCGGTGCAGAGAGTGTCGTCATGAAAGGCTCCTGGGTTCTCATTTTTGGAGCAGGGGTTTGTTTTATTACATTGTTTTAATACATTGTTTTAGTCTTCATTGGAATTTCAGACACTGATGAAACAATTGAACCAAATTGAACCGAACCAGTCTGCTACAAAAACCTTCATTAGAGCATATCTGTCTTTACAGATAAAAAAACTGTAGCATACTTCAAAATACACACAAAACCTATACAATTCAATTTAAAATAAGGCTGTTGATAGTCTATCCCTCATTGAATGTATACAACTGAATGTATGATATTCCTCAGTGTTCATCGCAAAAGATGAAAATGACATCTATAAGTCACACACTGTTTGACTGGGTGACATGTTCCTTTATCACTATGAACATGGCCATGTTTTTTTAAGCTAATCCCATGAACCCTGATGTACCAGATCTGCAGCTGAAAAATTCACCTATTCTACTTTGTAAGAAACGTTTGTAAATAAACTACAGTACCCAGCTGTTATAACATTTTTTTTTACCTATTTTTAATGAGTGTTGATATTTGTTCTTTTATGTCCCCACAGTAGGATCAGCTATTCTTGGGCATGAGTACCACGGGCAGGAAGGGAATATGTTAGGATTTTGGTTTTGGTCTTTCATGGTTTTTGTTTTTACAGTAAAAAAAATACAGGATATTGCCAGTCTTGTCCTTCAACAATTAGGCTTGTTCACCCTGATGTAACGCCATCAAACAGAGTTTACGTATAGCACACCCCTTTTCTCATGAGCGTCAGATGTAAAATCAGAACTTTCAGCAGAGAAATTACCCTGATTGTCTCTTAAAGCATCCTTCACTGTCCGGCTGGCTTGTTGGTGGGCGGTTGGATGTTGTTGGTTGTGTTTGCGTTGTTGCTGCTCCTCCCTGCATTGCTCTCAATCCTGAGGGAGGATGAGTTGAGCTGACTCCTCTTGAGGACTTTGTTAGCCAGCAGGCTGCACGTCTTCCTGTACTGGTGACGGAGCAGCGAGTAGACAAATGGGTCGCTTGCTGCCTTGCTGTAGGCCAAGCATTTGGACAGCACGCACCAGTGAGGGCTTATGGGCCCTGGAGCAAAGAGCTCGACGATTCTACCTCAAATAAAGCAAAAAGGAGAACAAAAAGTCACACACATTGCATGAAAAAAAGAAAAAGAGCCAATTCTTAGATCGGTGTAATTAGAGTAGAAGAAATGTAAAGCAAGCGGCCCTCCCCCAGTGCTGTTATACTGTAAAAATGTCATCATTTCACTTCACTGAAATGTCACCACTGTGCTGCTGAATGTGAACTCATGGGTGGCATTTTTTTTTTGCTTCAGGCCTTTTTTTAGTTTTAAGACAAATCATTTTTCTTTACATCAAATTGAATCAAAGACAAAGAGACGGCATTCTTTTGCTGTTCATGATATAATGAATGTGAAATCCTTAATTCCAACAGGTCTCCACACCACACAGCTCCTACTGTGCTTTCTTTCTATTTCCAAACCCCCTATTCTAACAGCTTCTGACAGGATGCCACCACTAATACTGGGGCTTATACTAATGAGAGCCAGTGATAGCATCACTGACTCATTTGTTATCTCCCTCCGTCTCTGTCCCTCTCACTCTCTTCACCCGAGTCGTTGAGGCTCAGTGACAAGGATTACAGCTGTGTGTAGAAACAATTAGTTATGACACAGGAGAAGGGAGCGGTTAAACATCTACAGTATGAATGTGTAGCCTGCCAAGGCAGCATTGTAGAAAAAAAAGATTGTTGTCGATATGAGGGGCGATAAGCTAAGACAAACCGCATTAGCAGCCACAGGAAGGTAAGTGAAAGCCCAGAATAACTCTGTCAAATAGTGTTGGCAGAGCAGCTCTACCTGTTCATCTGAACGAGGAAGATGTCACCTTTTTTTGTGCATGGCAGAGACTAGATGTGCAGAATTAAACTGAAATATCGCCGTAGGATTCAAACTAAAAGACTTTAAAAACAAAGCACCCATTTTTCACATGTTTTGATAATATATGTTGTTAAATATTTCACAAATATCCCCCCCCCACACCCCCACCCACACAAACAAAACTATATACATTACCATTATCGTCTTCTCACCTTGTAATGACATAAGGGCTGAAGCACACCACAAATGTGCCGATGAACGTGCTGATCTTCTTGGTGGCCCTCAGCCTCCTCCGCTTCTGTTCATCCAAGCATTTCTGCCGCACACTGCCAAAGCACACAGGTAGCGTTATCTACCCTGGAGGCAGCATCACAGGCACGCAGACAATATGGAGCGGCCCACAGAGAAAACATGTGGATTGGATGTAGAGGAAGCAATGAACTGTGCGCCAAAACTCTGAGGATTAATATGCAGGTTTTTTCGTGAACAAATGTTAGTATTGTAAATTGACAGAAATTGAAAGTTAGGGCTTATTATTTGTCTCAATGAAGACAGAAAACTAATTTAAAGAAGCATTTTTAAAAGGCCTCTCTTGCCCTGATGAGAGATCAAACATTATTACTTCCCAGTCACCTGTAATCATTTAGAGGGATGCCCCAAAACTTTGTGTTTTGTATGTTTTTAAATTAAAGTTGAACATGTTTCTAACAACTTCCATTTGATCTTAAAATCCATTTTTCTCAATTAACTAAACAACTTGAAAATGAATTGTAAAAAAATATGAATCATAGGCCATTATCCAAGTTCATATTTTTAAAGTGTTTTCAAATGTTTTATATTGTTGTACTTGTTCAATCCTGTCCTCAAATAGTAAATGTTAAATGACACAAAACAAATAACAGCAGCAAATGCCAGAAAATGGTTTGACATCATCTCATTGATTCAGCACTGTTTGGGCAATGCGAAGAACAGAAAATCCCCCATAATCTCCTGTTGATCCTCTATAAATGATGATAAAGATGTGATGAGCAGGTATTATATCATTTTTCCACACAGAACGTTTTAACCTTCAATGCTTTGTCAAATGATCAAAATGCTCCCACTAAACTACTTTAAGAGAAAAAAAACAAACGGAACAGACACAGAAATTGCAATTAAGGACAAATGGCTCGAAATAAACGTAAGCTATCTGTAATGGTTGTTTACCTGGGGTGAATATCCACAAGCAGCACCAACGTCTGCATCGTGATCACGTCGATGCGTTTACAGTGAAACCTCGCAACTTTCAACACTTTAAGATAGGTTACACACAACACGATGAGCGTGAGGAGGAAAGTGAGAGAGTGCAGAGCCACGGTGAAAAGGATAAACTGCATCCCTGCTCCCTTCGCCCTCACATTGCAGAGGGTGCACGATGCGTAAAGGTGGTGGTACCCGACCCAGGAGCGGCAGGTGGCCACCACTGAGAAGCAAAGAGAGTGTATCCACGTGTATCCGAGCGCGATCACTGCATCCCGGTGCCGGATCCTGGAGTGGTAGCTCAGCGGGAACACCACCGCCACCCACCTATCGATGCTGAGAGCTGCCATGCTGAGCATTGAGTTTGTGGTGAGAAAAGTGTCGAGGAATCCCACTATCTGACAAAAGACGCTGCCTCCAGGGTGGCCCGTGGTGATGAGCCCGACGAGAGTTAGAGGCATGTTGGACACGCTTAGCAACAAGTTGCAAAATGTCAAGTTGAGGATGAAAAGACCGGGTACCTGTTTGCGGATCTCCGGGTTGTACAGAAAGCAGATCAGCACCACAACGTTGGACAGCAGCGACACGATTATAATTCCCAAAACCAACACGGAAGCGGCTACGTCTGCTGCGTCCATGGTGCCCCGTCTTAAATATCCACACTTTTGACGAGTGCATCCGCAGTCCTGATGCAAACTGTCATCGTGAGTTGCAGCCAGTACATTCCCATATACTGCAACGCACACTTTCTCCTAGAATCAAATGTTTTCCATGAACCTAGCTCCAACGGCGTCCTCGATTAGGTCAAAGCGAAATCATAGAGAGAACCTTCCCCAGATAAGCATGCGTACATTTGGGATTCCGTTTCATGGGAATGTAGTGACAACAGGAGGTTTCTTCTGGTGACGCGCTGCGGTAGTTTTCAAGCAGCCCAGTAGGTCTCCGCTCAGGCTTTCCTGGCTGCGCAATTGCGCGCTGACATGCTGTCAGCTTTGAAGAGGATATTAAAATAATTCAAGTTGTCAATCTCTGCAGCTTCTTATATTGAATTATCATCCATCTCTAAAGCACGTGTACACCCCCTGTTCATAAATAGCTTTCAGGTGTAAAAATAGAAGCACGACGCACGATTGCGTGGCTGTTGGTGAGGCTGATGTCATGAGCATCACGTTGACCACAGCAGTCCCGCTAATGAGATGTGCTGTGCTAATAGAGACGTAGATCCAGTTCGTGAAGATCAAAATAGAAATTATGTTATACGTTTTTTGCTCTAAGTCAGTGTCTGGAAAAATTGAATCACATCACCATAGTAACTCATTAAGGATTTCTCAGCAGCACACAGTTTCGCACATCTCCAGACATCATTGCGATAGATGAAAACCCAGATCATCAGTTCAATGCTTAAAGTATGGCGCTTTATGTCGATTTATATGCATTTATATGCAGTTTATAACTACATAATATATACAGAGAGTTATTCCATAGTACAGCAGTAGCACATTTTTTGGGACATGATGAGCCTCCAAAGCCTCCAACTTTGCAGAGAGAGCATTATGTGCTTTAGCCAGGAATTCGTTTTTACTTCAACTATACTTAGAAATATTGATTATTTCTAAGTTGTCTGGACTGGACTGCATGAATATCTGCACTCAATAAACTAGAATAGTATCCATAACCGGATAAGTGCAAATTGTTGACGTCAATGAAGTTAGAAGAAAATATTTGATATTTGATCATCCTGTCATCTGTTGTATTCTACATTGTAAAATTCACTCAGATCAGGCAGGAACAAAAACATACCATCAGCTACATAAAGCAGATTATCAGCATGCAGAAAATCCTGATGCATTTACAGACAAATCATGGCTCACTATTAAAATAAAAGTATCACTACTTACAAATGTGAGGTTGACATTAGTGTAAAATGTATTTGTTTGTCTATCAACATCAGTAAGGACGTTGGAGTCCTTTTCCGTCAGGAGGATGTTGCCTAAAACTTGACTTCTCCTTATGTGAACTGATTAAAAGCAGAGAATATCAGGAAGGCAGTGTTGTCGTGAATGACCTTCAAAATCAACCTCAGGCGATGCGTCTCCTGTCCGGCCCGATTTATGTACTTCACCTGGAGAACACAAAGTGCACTTAAAACGATTTATCATCATTCAACAGGTGATGCTGAGTACTGTTTAAGGATAGGTGAATACAATCAAAAATCCAAAAATCTAGTGATGACTCGACCTTCGTGCTACAATGTGTGCATCCATTGGGCTCTCAAGCTTTTATTCTGCCTGTCTGACCCTCTGCCTGAACCACAGACTGATGATTCTCTGCCTGTCCCCTGGATTTCTTTACCTGATGGGACTCTATACCTGGCTTTCACCCACACCTTTTGAGGAAACAAACTTGGAGTTTAATGTAAACATGCCGGTTTGAGAGTTGTGCCTTTTTTTTTAATCAGGGTTGAAAACGCAGGTAGGAGGAAAAGAGGAAATGTATTCTTTTTAATTTTTTTAAAAATGTTACATCCATCAACAAGAGTGGCTTTAATTGAACTTCAATGTTTCATACCCTTCAGTGTAATTTTGCTGATAAGTCAGATGTGGTTCAGGATGCTTTAAACAGACTTCATACTGATCTGCTTTATAAAGAGAACTCAGCTCTGTGCAATTGTTAAAGATGTGATTCCTGAAGAAACATCTTGCCTTCATTCCTTTTACCATTAAAACATTTCTTACATTGTGCATACTTTCTGTGAATAGTGTAAATAAAAAGCTGTAGCACCTACCCCATGGCAGCAGTTAATGATATTTAAAGAAACTAAATAATAATCACTTTTGTCCCTGATGAGCTCTTTTGCTTTTGTAGGTCATAAAGTGTTATCAGAATGATTTTCAGTCTTTTCCATAACCACTTTGAAACTCCTCACAGGAGCTTTAAGATGAAAGATATTTTAATTGTTTCCTGTAATGAGAAAATTCTGTTTAGCACAAATTACAAAAGTGCAAACTGCCAGAGGTGATATTCAGCTGGAGTCTCTACATCTTGTAATAGACAATGCTATTGCTAACCCTAGCAGTGAATACCTGTAGAAAAGACTTTTCTCAACATATTATTAATAACTATGGAAGAATTGGGTTGATATGTGCACAAACATTTGATTGACTATACTGTCCTGCGATAACGAGTAATTTCCAGTTCTTTTCTGGAGGCCTCCGCATACTTATCTTAATGTCTCGAAATAACAACTCTTGTTTTCCTGTGATAGTCTGTTAATTTAAGTTATTTCCTCATTATCTTGACTTAGCTTATTCTACAATCTACAATTCACTTAGCAGACGCTTTTATCCAAAGCGACGTACATCAGAGAGTAAGTACAACACAAGCAAGGATCTAGAAAAAAGGGAACAATGTCAGTAAGAGCAGACGATCAGCTTTGAGTCCGATTGGACACACAGGTGCTGACAGGCATTGCACAGAGGCAAAGCACAACATTGACGGCAGTTCTTGAGAGCTCTAATAGAAACCATCTTATAAGTCGTAGCTATCAAACAAAAACCATCGTCACAACCATCATCATCATCAATAATATCGAGACCATCATCATTAAGTTAGTAGGTATTCATGAAAGAGATGGGTCTTTAGCTTTTTCTTAAAGGTGCAGAGGGATTCTCTCATTATGAAGGATTAATGTATGTCATTATCTCCATTTCACAAGTTTTTGATGGCAGGATCATTTTCTGGGGATCTAGAAAACAAAATACGGCCAGACCCCGACATGCCATGCTGACATGGTAAGGTAAGATAAGCCTAATTCTACATTTGTGTTTGCAGCTCTGGGGAAACGAGATACGTAAGGAAGATGTTGATAAAACAATCGGAAATGCTTGGTTACTTATCTGTACAGGGCTTCTGTAAATAACAAGTTTGGGGGGAAATTCTTTTAACAACAGAACAAGAGCATTGTTCCATAGAGTTTTTCAGCTTTTTCCCCCAAACTGTGTTTTGGAGGAGATTTGTTGTCCCCTCCTTTTGCCAATTGTCCTTCAGATAATGGATTTCAGTCTCATTCCACGAGGGACCAGACAGATTTAGGGGTGTGTAGAAGCAGTCTCAAGCCAAAGTTTCTCAAGGGAATTTAATAGCCTGTAAACAAGTATGCAAGCAGTGTGAGACTTACAGATTCTGCCAGAAAGTTTCTACATTGTAAAGAAAGCATTTGATGCTGTAATAGGATTTTATTTCAAAGCCATAATCTGAACATTTTAAATGTATTGAACCACCACTAGATCAGAACAAACTTTGATTTAGTAGCAGAAAGGCGAGACAACAAGGGTTGTACTGACCCCCATCATTCTGTTGTCACTGTTTTAAGTTTTATGGTAGTTCATGGTGGGATATACAACGTAAACTAAAAAGAACCAATAGAATGAGATGATAAATGATAATGATAAATTCTATAATATGAATATGAATCATACAGCAGTTTATACTTTTCAACTCTTCTTCATTTACATCTGTCACAGACCACCATACATCTGAGCCTGTTGAAAATCTAAATTAACAAGCTCACTGAGGCAGCCTTAGTAATGATTAAAGTTCAAATTACTCATTAACAGAAAATTATTTCCACATATTAGTTCCAGGAGCAGAATTTAAAGCATGAAAGTGATCTATAGTGTTTAATTGAAAGAGATTTCTCTTGTATCTGGATACAAGGATAAGAGAATCTCGTCTATGTATTATAACAGCTCACACACACACGTGCAGCTGTCCAGCCATCCCATAAATAATCTGTAATGACAAATTGACAAAAGTGTCTGTGCAGAGTTTCTAATTAATTCCATGGAGAGAGAAGTTTTTCACTCCTGCAATTTCCACCTAGTGAAGGAACAGATGGTGAAACTACATTGGCTGGTTTGTCACTGAATCAAGTCTCTGCAGTGCTCCCCTAAAGTCATTCTCACTTTCCTCAGTGTATGAGTAAATGAGGTGAAAGGTAACTACTACATTAGGCCATTAACAGAATTCTCAATACATTTCTGCAGACCGTTATATTTCTTTTCTCTACATTTTACAAATATATCATATATTTGAAATGATCAAACCCAGAAGTAACTGAAAATGAATATCCATCATCCTATTTCTCAAAACTCTTCTTCATGGCAGTATCATCATAATCAGTATCATAACTAAAGAACATTACTTCTGCAAGGCAAAAGTAACTTCTATTCAATTAACCATTCTTGCTTTCATTTAATTTTTTAAATATTCATTTGAAATATAATTTTTTGTTTTTGCTGTTAAAGCCTGTGTGTGTGATTTTAAAGGTATATCATGTACAACATACAGCTCAGAAAGACTGTCTGTAGCACAAGTGATGAGCCTAGTTAACACCAACTAATGGGCTCAACGTAACACTTGAATTTCACAAATTTACGAAGTAAATACATTTGATTTACAATCAAAATGTAATTTGAAAGATGCAATTGTTAAAATAAGAAATAAAAATAAAGCAATATTAGGGCCTGTGTCCACAGACAGCACTTTTTACACTGACAGTGCACACAACCTCCATTACAGAACACTTCTCACCAGCGCTTATTGTTGATAGGTTATGAAAGTACGCTTCCTCTGTAATGTCAGTTAGGTGGGTTTTAGGGAGCTCTGTGTGCTTAACATTGACTCCAATGTAAAGGAGTCATGTCCTGGTATTAGCAGCACCTCAAGACCTTGAAACTGTTCGTTTGAAAAGACGACTCAGACTAGTGTCTCCTTCGCCATCGTAGTTGACTACTCAAAGCGGTTTTACACCACATGTCACACCTACCCATTCACAAACATTCACATACTGATGATAGATCAGAAGTAACTAATCCATTCATAGGTATTCATACGCCACGGGAGTAATTTAGGGTTAAGTGTCTTGCCCAAGGACACATCGGTCATGTGGCTGCAGGAGCCAGGGATTGACCCTCGACCTTCCGGTTGAGAGACGACGACTCTACCAACTGAGCCCAATATGTATT